TTTGCTGATGATGCTGATATGCTGATCGATGCTGATGCTTGATTGAGGATCGTGAAATTCAGAGAGCAAACACGTTGAAAGACACTAACAACTTCGGTCAATTCAATTACGGATCGTCGGTCGTCCTAGAAGACAAAGACGACTGGCAAACCTTACAACCACGAGATCCTGCTGTCTGGCTACGGGTCTAGAACCACTGCCCTGTTCGGGACAGGGTTTACCTTCTCGGAGGGCGTTTTGTCAAGAATCCCGAGGAGCCCCCGACAGGCGATGAAGGCGAAGCGAGATGTACCGGCTACACTTTTTTCTACGATCAAGCCCTGACCCTTGGTATTGGTGGAACAGACCAATATCGCACCAAAACGACATCTTTCCTCATGAATAAGGTTGGTGTTTTTGGCTTCGGTTTGATAACTAACCGTCGGGAGATCGAGCATACCGGTCCGAACAATAATGTCCAAACCGATCTCCATGTTTCTGTGCAGCACACTGATTATCATACCACGGTGAGTTTCCTTTTTTCAGATGTTACCTCAGACCTTGACCGATTGAACAGGTCACTTAACTTAGTTTTCATGTTTGTTTATTTTTTTTTATCCATCGATCGATCCGTAGGCCAAACAACTGATGGAGTTCCAAGTCAACTACATCGTTCCTGGCAATAAGCTCTTGAACCACACGTTCAATTTGTTTCAAGTTGGACGAGAGGCGCTGATTGTCGGTTACATCACCGGCCATGATGATGATGCCGAGATTTGGCAAGTCACGGTAAGAAGTTTGATTTTACTATTCATCCTCGCTTATATCCCCGTTAGGAACTAATGTAACATCCTGCATTTTCTTCGGTACAGGTTTTGCTGGTGTCAATATCTTCGGGAGGCAGAAGTACAACGGTTAACCTGATGTTGACTCCGACCTCTTCAAATGGTGGGTCGATTGAACAACCTCGACCTAACATGTAAGTAAGACTATGAAGAAAGCAAAGAAGGCAAAGTCTCGGATGATGACAACGACAACCATTTCAAAAACACGTACCCTCCAGGTGATAAGAACAATAAGAGGGCTCAAACCTCTCAGACAGGCTCCGGAATCCTTGCCGAGGCACAGAAGAAGCTCAAGGGCCGTGCTTAAGCTCTTCGATCGAGGGTCGTGATCATTACTCACGCAAGGATCAGTGGTAACAGATCACATGTATATTTTATGATTTTTTTATATATGCTTCATGTCCTACCTTGGCCGATCATAAGAACTGTATCTTGCACACTACGTCCTATCTCTTTGTACTCAATCGGTCTGTACTCAATTCTTCATCAACTTGAATTGATGTATCTACTATATCATGTCTCGATGTCTCAATGCAATCTCATAACTGATCTGTCAATGTCTGCAATTTAATCATGTGTTAAAGCTCTATAACGTCTCGATTGAGCTCATGATCGGTTGTCTGTATCCTATGTACAGGAGTTGATCACAGGATCTGCTCCATTGAGTCTAATAACTAAACTAACGATCCGACTGAGTGACTCTAACAATCGGACTGAGTGACCGATCTGGATTTTGAACATGTTGGTCTGAGGAACTTCAACCCTATTCAAGTCGCGATACTCAGTCCCTCAAGAGACATTGCTCGCAATCCGATTCACCAATCCGAGTTTCACTTGAATTCCGAAGAAAATGCCGCTACCGCAAAGACGACGCTTCGGAGACGTTCATCGCCAGCAACCAAGAAGGCGAGTATCCAGTGTCACAGCTCGACATCGGAGTCGCAGTATATCATCAACTCCAATCCAAAGGAATAGAAACCGACCTCGCCGCCGACCTTGGGATTTGTTACCAGTGATTGGACTGGGTGCGGTCTATCGTTCCGAGAATAACACAGAAGCATACTTACTTGATCGATTCCCTGGGGATTTTCCTTTCAACGTTGGATCTATGAACGATGCCTGTGACTCCTGCGGAGCTCTTCACTGGAAACTGGAGCGTACAAAGAACGATATGTCCAAAGACACCGCCAGTTACTCAATGTGTTGTGGAAAAGGATCGGTCGAGATGCCAGTAAGATATGAAGACACTGAATATCCTTGGTTTATGCGGAAACTGCTCACCGATCTTGATGAGCGTCAGTTGTTCTGGGTTCAACCATCTTGCATGTAGGCAGTCGCTGACTATTTAATCTTTATCTCTTTGTTTCTTTATTTTTTTTTTTCAAATCAGGTTCCCTCCAATATCAAAGACAGATCCGCGCATACAATAACGCCCTGTCCTTCTCATCCTGTGGTGCTGAGATTGACCGATCGGTTCAAGGTTACGCAGGAATATATACGTTCAGAATCAGAGGCACCCTCTTTCACGACATTGGTAGTGTGTTCCCTCGAGGTAGTGCTAGGCCTGCGTTCTCTCAAATTTACGTCGTGGGGGGTAACGATGCCCAGGAGGCTGAATATCGCGCAGGACAAGCCAGGTCCCCAGTTGATGTTGAATTACTTCTACGAATTCAGCGATATTTATCAAGAAACAACAGTTACGCTTGATTCTTTCGAATGGTTGGGCAAGACGACCCAAATCTAAATGCTCGCTACGTTCTAAGAAACTACAACCGGCCTGGACTTAATCAAAATGTCTATAACGCACCTCGGACGCTGGAAGTTGGAATGGTCATTGATAACGATGATCCTGATCAAATTGCACCAAGAGACATTGTCCTTAGGCCCCATGAAGGTGGCCTCTTGCATATCACCGATGATTTTAGTGGTTATCTCCCGATTCGCTATCCAATCTTTTTCCCTTTTGGGGAGCAAGGATGGATTCATGGATTACCAAGTAATGAAGATGAAGAAGAAGGTAAGAAACCCGCATGTAAACCTCTCTTTCATGGGAACTGGCATATTAGCTTTGAAACTGACATATTGACTTGATTAACAGAGTCGACAATTTCGCAGCGGGAATGGTATGCCTCTATGATCTTCGACCGACGAGACAAATTCTCAGCGATCCTCCATGGGAAAAACCTCTTTCAAGAGTTGACGGTCGATATGTACTTCTGTGTGGAACGTTCAAGACTCAATTTCTACCGCTTCAATCAGGGTCAAATCAAGGCAGAGCTGTACCGGGGCGTTGAAGAATCGTTCAGGGACGACATTGATGTTCAAGGAAGACGGATCATCCTTCCATCATCTTTTTCCGGTTCCCCTAGGAACATGATGCAGCTGTACCAAGACTCAATGGCTCTGGTGAGGCATTTTGGGAAACCTTCACTGTTTATCACAATGACTGCCAACCCTCGATGGCCTGAAATTCTCGCGGAACTTAAACCAAACGAAGAAACTTCAGATCGACCTGACTTAATTGTCAGAGCATTCCATTTGAGGTTGACGGATCTCATCGACTATGTGGTCAACAAAAAGAGGCTAGGCAGTGTGGCTGCTTATGTCTATACAATCGAGTTCCAAAAGCGAGGCCTACCCCACGCCCATATGATGGTAATCTTGGAACCTGGAAGCGTCCCTACAACTCCGGAAGCCATTGACTGCTTGGTTACGGCCGAAATCCCAGACCCTCAATCAGAACCAAGACTCTATGCGATTGTCAGCTCTTGCATGCTTCACGGGCCATGCAATTCTAACTCCATGTGTTGGAAAGACAACACCTGCTCAAAAGGTTTTCCAAAGCCCTTCCAGTCAGAAACATCCTTGGTCGAGGACTCCTATCCAAAATATCGACGCAGGGACGATGGCAGACGTATTGTCAGGAACCACCACGAATTCCACAATGGTCATGTGGTTCCGTATAACAAGTGCCTATCGCTACGATACAAGTGCCACATAAATGTCGAGATCCCTTACGGAATTCACGGGATGAAGTACCTTTTTAAGTATATATGTAAAGGTGTTGATCGCTCTTCAATGCGAATGACTGAAGGCAATGAGACCCTGAAATTTATCAATGGTCGGTATATCGGTCCGTCGGAAGGTTGGTGGTATCTCTTTTGAAATTGTTATCTTTGATTTGTTTGTGTCTTTGGCATTGTATACTGACCATTGCATTCATGTCTGTCAATTCAGCTGTGTACAGGCTTCTCCGATTTCCTACGAACGAGCGAGACCCTGCAATTCAGCGCTTAGCCGTACACCTGGACGGTCAACACAGTGTTTATTTCATTGACCATGAGGGACTCCAACGTCAGATGGAAACTGGTTCTGCGGCCCGAACTACACTTACTGAATATTTCCGACTGAACCGCTTGAACGCTATTGGCTATGGGGTCCCAGCACGATCTTTGCTCTACCACGAGATTCCCAAGTACTTCCGATGGACAAAGAAGAAGCGATTCAAGGGTCGTAAGCAAGCCTCCAACATGATCGGTCGTCTGTACCATGCCACCATCAACGAAGGGGAGCGGTACTTCTTGAGGCTTTTGCTACTTCATAGAAAAGGCGCCACGAGTCCTGAAGACCTGCGAACAGTCGGTAACATAACTTTTGATACTTTTCGAGATGCCGCAGATGAACTTGGATTATTAGTCAGTGATCGTCATTACTCGGAATCCATGGCGGATGCGGCACACTGGATGACAGGTAGTGGTCTTTGGTTCATGTTTTGTATGTTGTTAATTCACAGTCCGCCGGCAAATCCAAAGAAACTACTTGAAGATTTCTTAGAAGATCTCTCGGATGACTTGATGTACCGGCTCGAACATAGATACCGTCGTCAGAATCCAAGCATTGAAGATCGGAACTCCTTATGTTTCTTCTTGATTCACAATATATTACAAGAACACGGGAAAACCTTCACCGACGTTGGACTCGATTCAATCAGCACAATCACTCACCTGTGGGACTTATTTGAAACCGACCCAAGTGACGATGACGATGTCAATGTTGATCATGCAGCCCGATTCTTATCTATGTCTCAGTGTCTCAATGAACGTCAGACAATCATCATGGAAACGGTGATAGAGCTTATGAACCACGATGAATCAGGCCTCATATATATCGATGGGCCTGGAGGCTGTGGAAAAACATACTTGATGAACACGATCATCCATTACCTGAATGCCATTGACATCAAAGTAGTAACTGTCGCATCTTCGGGAGTAGCGGGACTCATGTTATTTGAAGGCATGACAGCACACTCACGATTCAAGTTACCGCTAGACCTCAACTCATCCTCTCAGTGTAATTGGAAGAGCAGAACCGCCTCAACCCAAGCACTACAAGACGCCAAGGTCGTAATATGGGACGAAATCTCGATGCAGAGCAAGTATGCTGTCAAAGCTGTAGATCGAGCTTTTCAGGACTTGATGCAAGATGATCGACCTTTTGGAGGAAAACTGATGATCTTTGGGGGAGACTTCCGACAAACTTTGCCTGTTGTGCCAGGAGGGACCATTTTCGATCAGGCAAGGGAGTGTATGATTGCCTCGCCAATTTGGGACCATGTCTACACCTTCCAACTGACTCAAAACCAACGATTGCGTAACTCTTCGGATCCAGACAATGCACAAACTAACTCTGAGTTCTATCACTGGCTGTTATCAATAGGGAACGGTTCAAACCAGACTGACTTCTCTGCAGACGTTGAATTGAAATACGGAACCGTTTTCAAGCACCAGACACCATCATTTGTCAGCAACCAAGCAATTGCTCAGGTTTATGGAGATCTGAGTAACTTATTTATCAATCACGACTACACAAATATCCCTGATTTCTACGCTGAACGACTCATATTGGCCCCGCTGAACGCCGATGTCACCAAAATCAATTCTACCTGCAGAGATCGCATTCCAGGTCAACTGTTTCTTTCTGAGTCTGTTGACCAGATGATGAATGAGGCAGATGGCTTAGAAAGTGATGAAGCAGTTCCTGAAGAAGTATTGAACACTTTCTCATTACCCGGCTTCCCTGAACACAAACTGGAATTGAAGGTTGGTATTCCAGTAATCTTACTTCGGAATCTAAATCTCAAAAGAGGCCTATCCAATGGGACTCGACTCTTGATTCTTGCTATAAGACCAAAGGCATTGCGTTGCAAGATCCTCAGTGGATGTTGTGTTGGTAAAGAAGTAATCATCCCTAAACTCAAACTCACTCATGAAGCCGACCACGTATATGGCGTATCATTTTCACGATATCAATTTCCAGTCTCAGTAGCCTTTGCCTTAACAATCAACAAAGCTCAGGGACAGTCGTTATCAGTTGTTTCCGTTTACTTACCTCAACCTGTATTTGGCCATGGTCAACTTTACGTTGCTCTGTCCCGAGTGACCAACTTGAACGGGTTATCAATCTGCATGGTGGGTGATCCAGATCTTCCTTCGATCACTACAAACGTTGTCAATCTTGATGTAATACGAAGATGTCATGGAACTTCTGAGGTCAGTAGACTGTTCAATATAGATTTCATTGTTTCAATCATTCTTGATACATAATTGCTCATACTGTTCTTTCTTAGGCCTAGATCGGTTTCCAGTTTGGACTTCAGTTACCTGAAGAGTTCCCTTAGGTTTAGGGAAGTTTCCCATAGGTGCAGGGTTGGATATTTTCCCCACCCCGCCCCATATATTTCACCTTTCCTCCTCTCAATCCACCCATTGCAATTCACCCCTCCCCTCAATAGATCCACTGAAGCAAAAACTTGAATCTTGAGTCCTGTTTCTGTTACTATTTTCAGATTGTAACTGCTGCATCTGTACTTAGAATGCAATTGAAATCAGAATCAACTGTCCTAGCATTACACTTTCTATATATCTAGACAACCTGTTTATACAAAGATGAAAGTTATGAAGCCAAGATCATGGATACATACAAAATACAAATGCAAAAAATAAATTATTTATCTACAACCACAGATTCCCAGGCTCAAATTCAAAAAAACCTATTCTTTCACTGATTCAAAAAGCCCAACAGCCTATCTCAGGTTCAGATCCGAGTTCCTAGGGATCCCGCGGCGTTATACGCCGCGGGTTCCCTAGTCACAATCTTATCAGATCCCTCATTAACTGAGACCTTGTTGAAGTCCTTCCGACAATGGGCTGGTGAGGAACGTGATGCAGCAGGCTTCTACTCATCAACCAGTGGTTCTATGATTGGAGTATTCAAGAACATCACACGCAGCTTGACTGCTCCCCCAAGGACGATCCTCCGGCACCCTTTGTGGATGACTTATGCTCATTCACGATTATTGCGAGCAGGGAATGGAACTTGGAGAATTCAAAGATTGCTCTAGTCTTCAAGAAGACGTCACTGAACTATCAAACTGGATCGTCGATAACTTGAAATCTCGGACAAAATTCAAACATTATACTCTGAATGGTCGGGAATCTGCTGATTACGACGATTATTGTTGATTGGTCTCAACTTCTCGACCAGAAGATCATTGATGATGGGGCTGACTGAAACAAAGATGAACATCAAGCTGACAACAATTAAGATTTTAAAAGAAGATAATGAAGACAACGAAGCATAATATGTACACAAGAACCGCATACCTATTATCCCTCCTTCTTTCATAAATTGTTTCATATTGTCTCTCTCATCAAAAAAGAAGTTACCCTTCTTCCTTGTTTATGGTCGCTCCCTCTTTTTCAAAAATACAAAAAATACCCATGACTTGCAATTGACACCTTTTGTTCATCAAACCAAATTCTTGTGAGAATTGAAAATGGTGAGTTCTTCATACATAGAATCTGAGACTTTTTTGTGAGGGAAGAGGGTCACATCAAGTCTGACATGAAACACACAGAAAGTGTATGATAAAGCAAATTATTCCAGCAACAACTGTGAGCACAAAACAGCCAAGGAGCATTTTTGCAAGTTGATTAATTTCTTCTACCAGACCCAAATGTATAATTGGTGCTCTGTTTCAGACTCAAGGCAATCAGTGTAGATTCCAATTTCTAGGCCAATGCTAAAGATGTAAAGGCTGGAAAATCTGTTTGGGCTGGAGCAATTTTGTTGTTTCCCACAATACCAGACATGAGATAATGAAAATCTATTGAGGCCAAAGTTTAGAACAATATACTAATCTCTGAAAACTACTGATAGGATGAGGAGAGTGTCTGTCTGCATTGGTTCTTTAAAATATGAGAGGAGTATCAATGGATTTGATTGAGAAAGAGTTTTTGTGTCCCTGAGTTCTGGGAAAAATTGTGTTGATATTTATAACTTGCATGGCCTCTCTTGTGAAACAGCTTTTCTGTTCAGCAATCTTGGGGCCAAAGGCAAATGGATATATGCAACATGTATTAGGCCAGGTTTCCAATGGGCCATCCAAACCCACCCGGGTTTGGGTTGTGTCAGCTTGTTACTGACTTGGTACTGAAATCAGAACAAACTGACTAATGCCTCAATAAATATAATAGCCTATTTTTCTCTAAAA